TTTATAGTAGAGATAGAGTCTCACTCTTGCTCAGGCTGGTTTCGAACTCCTGACCTTGAGTGATCTGCCCACCTCAGCCTCTCAGAGTGCTAGGATTACAGGCGTGAGCCACTGTGTCTGGCCTATTTTTAAAAAATAATCTTATGGTTCGATTTTTTAACACTTAAATCTTTAATCTATTTGAAATTCATTCTAGTAGGGATTTTTCTCATTTTTTCCCAAATGAATGACAAGCTATCCCAACACCACGTGTTAAAGTTATCCCTCAAACCGACTATCCTCCATCCTTAGGCCCACATCATGTTCCAACTGATCTGTTTCTACAGGCTCCCACTGGCCCTCCTCCATTCAGCACTCCACGCCCCCATCCTGCGCCACCCTCCACCTCAAACACCTGTTTCATAGATGACATGTGCAGTGATGTGTCACTTGCCTCTTTAAATCCTTTGAATGGCTTCCCAGTTTGGATGAAATAGAATGTTTTAATAAGCTCATAATTAGGGTGGTCATAAAATTTATCATCCCAATAGGGAAAAAATTAGTTAAAGAAACGCTATTACTAATAATGCTGGAACTACAGGCATATTATGCCAGACTATCACAGGCAAACCATACCCCAAAGGCTTCACTGTCAGCTCCAAACTCTTCCCTTTTTCTCTCTCACAAATTGCTATTTAGCCACACTGAACTTATTTGGTATTGTTGCATCCTCAAACTTAAATTCTTTCTTTATGGGACTTCCCATACTATTTCTGTGCCTAAGTATTTATTTTCCACATCCCACCCCCAACCCATCTCCCACCACTCGCCCTCACCCATTATCTCAAACTCAACCTCCAGGGCTCAACTTGAAGATGCTTCAACACCCCCTAGTCAAGTTTGAACTTAGCACATTCCTATGTGTTCCACATCATTTCCATACATTCTCTTTTTTATCCAATATTTCCCCTATTACCTTTACTAATCACATATGTTACTATCTTCTATAATCTAATGCCTGCACACACTAGGCATTAAATAAATATCTAAGAATGAATGAAGATCTGTCTCTAGTGACATATACAAATTATCAAAAAAAGTTATAAAACTTTTCAGAAAGAGTTGGCAGATCTATGTAATATATGTATTACCTTCCCATAGTGGTTACATATTTGTTTGTACATATATATCTCTGTGTGTGTGT